TTGTTATTGTTGTAAAGATAACAGGATGAATCCTTTCCCATGAGAAAGAAAATCCTGACATGGCAAGGGTAGGTGGCAGAGTGCAGGGCACCCAAAAGGACAGAGATGAGTGGGAGATAGGTAGGTTGGGGGAGCTGAAGCAAAGGCGAGTGTGGCAGGTCAGGAGAAATGTGAGGTCCTCGCCTAATAACTCTGCTGTCCTGGCCTAATGACTGCAACTGGGACTACTGGAACTGCTATTGCTAAGCAGTGTGGTCACATGAAGTTTTGTTAATGATTGCATTGCTTAGCGATGGAAATTCCAGTTCCAATTGTGGTTGTAAGTTGAGGACTACCTGTACATGTATAGCATATTACCTTTCTTTTTTCTTATCCAAGCCCTTAATTTATTTTACTTATGGGGTTTTTTTTTGCATTCCGTGGTTTCTCCCTGGCTGGCATGAGCTGAAAGAGTGGGTGTGCTCTGGGGCCCTTTGTGCCATCTATCAGGACCCAGGAACCCTGCCTTCTCTGTCATGGTGCCTGACCTCTCAAATGACATCTCCTAAGATCTGTGTGGCTCCCACCCTGATGATGTTCCAGAAGGCCTTGAAGACCTGGCTGCTGTCTGAGGCCTTTGGGTTATGGTGGATGGAGCCCCTTATTCGATACATTTCCGAATATGTTTTGTATTGAGGCAGGTTCCCATCTTGTTTATCTTTTTTATACTGTATTTTTATTTTGTTTTTTACTACATTGTGAGCCACCCAGAGTTGGTTTGGAGTTGGGCAGTGCCTAAATGAAATAAATAAATACATGAAATATATTATGGTAGAGTATGTGTGTATCTTCTGCAGATCACCCAAAAATCTTTTACCAGTAGATCCTGACCTACATCTGGCCTCCCTCTGCTCTAATTGCATAAATATATGAAGCAGAAGATGGTGGAATGATTTGCACTAATTCTGATGTTTAAATGTTCCTTGAACTCTGTTTAAAAATTTGATAACCCTCATCAGTAACCTGAACTGGCTAAATTCACATCATCAGCTCATGTTACTGCTTTTTAATATTTTGTAGATTTATCAGGTCCTTGAGCATGGTGAATGTAGGTACCTTCTTAATGACTCCCTAGTGATGTTCCTGTGGCCCTCAAATTTATCAGGAGATGATTAGTAGTGGCTCTGGCCCTCTCTGTAACAAGTAGTACTTGTGATGGGATGGGATGGTGAAGGCCTCGCTCGGGGAGATAAGCATTTCCTTAGCCCCCAGCAGGAGCGTGGGAAGGTTAAGAAGATGAGACTGGCACCACCTAAGGAATTCCCAGTGTTTGCTTGCTGGCTTGAGAGGTTTA